CCTTCTTATTCTGTTAGATGGTTAGTCCATGACCATCATGATGGGAAGCAGACAGGAGTGGTGCTGGAGCAGTAGCACCATTGATGATGAGATGAGAGCTTTACATCCTGATCTGAAGACCCCAGGCAGAGACAGTGAGGCTGGGACCAGCCCGAACTTTAAAACCTCAATTCTGACCCCAGTAACCCACGTCCCACAAGGCCACACCTCCTAATCATTCCCAAACACTTCCACGACCTAGGGACAAAGCATTCAAACATATGAGCCTATGGTGGCCATTCTCATTGACACCACCGTACCAGGTCTCAGGGACACCGTGCCAACACTGCCTTCCTGCCAAAGCACCCTGGTGACTCCCAGTAAGCGGCTAGCGCACAGCTCCTATCCCTTCCTCTCTTCATCCTAAACCTGTTTGGGCTGGGCCACTTGTCAGGGTTTCCAGAAAAATCATCACTGTTAATTCAACTTCCAAGTTGCAGTTCATGACCCAACCTCCCTCGAACACCCCTTGCCACAAGCCGGATGTTTCCACCAGTGGCCCCGAGCCACTAGCCTTACTGTATAACCTTGCAATGACATGAGTCAGCCAATTCCCTGCCATCAAAACAGTATCTCTGTCATGTATAATCAAAAGACCTGCATGAAGCGTATGCAAAATTTACTCAACTCTGAGTTGACACACTAGGTGAAATGCCACGGGTCTTTCCCTGTGTCCTACAGTGGCCAACGCTCAGTGCTCCAGGAGGGATGAACTCAATTAGGAGGAAACCCTTAGAGTGTGGTTGTAGGGTATTGCACGCGACACCTACAGGGTGGGACCCACACCGGTTTCCAAGTCCTCCCTCAGAGGGTTCTCCGTGGCAATGAGCAATGCCATCCCTGGACCCAGTCCTCAGCCTGGAGGCATCTCCCAGGTGAGAGCAGGCTCCCTGAAACTAAAAGGATCGGATGAAGCTCCCAGCGGGGAGGACTGAAGCAGATGGCAATGCGCTAATAACCGCACCAGCTGCCAGTCTTTGGAGAGTTACCACGACACTGGCTCCAAGTTACACGGTAAAACATCTTATTTCCGTTGTCCTGTTTGAAGCTTGGGAAAGAACCCCTACAGCCCTTATATCTTGTCTGTCAAGGGGGAGTGGTCACGAAAGCCATGGGTTACCTTATGAGAAACTTCCATCAGTGTATACAGATTGATCAGCAAGGACCCCCAGTTAGAAGGCTCCTTCTGTGGCCCTGCCTGTGCAGTTCTAACAAATTTAGTGGCCTTCTCCCTAGTGATAGTTACAATGATGGGGGAGTCTTCAGCCTACAGTACTGGCCCTACATAGCCTATCCCTGCATCCTTCTGCCCTGACTGAGCATCCAGACCCTGCCACTGTCCTAAAGTGAAGAATATGACCAAATAGTCATTTTGGGTAGGCTGTGCACTTGGGGTAATCATGGTTCGATCTAAATGATAAACCACCAGCAGCAATGGGTAGGTTTGGGGGTGTTCAGTTGATCTGCCGAGGACCACACCTAAAGAGATCCACAAGCCTCTGTGTTCCACAGTCATTGCTGAGGACCAGATCTGACCACACTGGAGGCTGCAGGGGCAGGCTGCACAGGTGCCACCCCAGGGAAGGGGGCTGTAGCTGAAAGTCCTTTGTTCAATACCACCAAGCCTGGTGATGCTCCATCCGCTTGGCCAGAAGAGAAAGCTAATTGCTACTATAGCGCTCACAAGAAAATAACACTGTAAAACTGTGTTATGAAGAGGTAATCTCAGGGGTTGGGGAGATGGCTCAGCAGGTAAAGGGCTTGCTGCGCAAACACACAGACCAGAGTTCAGATCCCTGGTACCCATGTAAATGCTGCATAGGTTAAGTCCCAGGATGTAGGAGACAGAGAGGCAGGGATGGGGAAGCCCCAGGGCAAGCTGACTAGCCAGGCTGAGTGGCTCTGAGAGCTTTGGGTGTTGTAAGAGATCATCTCAGTATATAAGGTAGAAAGCATGAAGGAAAACACCTAATATCAACCTCAGGCCTACTCTCAGTGTACCCACACACGTGAACACATACATACACACACACACACACACACACACACACACACACACACACACACACTAGAATATACCTCTGTGTTTGTAAGTGAGTAAAATCCCCTGCTAGACGAACCAGTCCTGAGAACAATGACCTTCTTCCAATCTGGACCCACTCCTCGGCTTCTGGTGACAACGCTGGCTCCGCGGCTGGGATGGCGCTAGTTTTTAATTGCCAAGCTGACACAATGTGGAGCCTCAAGGAGAGACTGACTAGGTCAGGTCAGCCTGTGAGCATGTTATCCTGTGGGCGTGTTATCCTGTGGGCTTGTTATCCTGTGGGCATGTTATGAGGGAGCATCTTGATTGCCTTAATTGATATGAAAGTGGGTGGCACTGCCGCCAGGTCTGGATATAAGAGAGTAGTGAAAGCTAACCGTGTACCAATCAAGCGTTCCCACCCTGCTCTTGACTCTGGGTGTCATGTGACTGGATTCTTGAAGCCCCTCCCACTGGGACTTGCCCGCAGTGACAGTCTATCCTCTGGAGTTGTAAACTGAAACAAATGCTTTCTCCCTTAGGTTGCTGTTTTGTCAAGATATCTTACTACAGGAACATGAATGAAGAACCATGGACTCCCACCCAAAGGACAAGGGGAGCGAACCTCCCTAAGCAGCTCCTTGCCCATCTCTAGTCCAGCCAGGGTGTCCCTTTCTGGTTTCTGCCAGCAGTCACTGGTGTGTCCTTCTACCCCAGTCTAACCCTGTCCATTCTCCACGTTCACATTTCCACCACCATCCCCTTGGCCTTCAAGTCCAGACCCTCTGGCCCTGTCCAGATCCACTGGGCCACCCCCACTCTGGGGCAGGAACGTTAGAGGTCGGTGTTCTGCCTCTCAGTCCCTCTCTAACTTTGCCTGAGGGAGCTTCCCCCTCATTCCTCCAGTCTCATCCTGGCTTTCCTCTACAGCCAAGCTGAGCCCTTGTCTGGATTTCTTCTCAGACTACACAGAATCTGAACCTCACTCAGTCCCTCCATTGACTGCTTCAGAAGCAATTCCCAAAACACTGATGCAAAAGAAAGCACAACACTCAGTCTAACCAGTACCGAGTTTGTTGGTGTCAGTCTAACTAGTACCGAGTTTGTTGATGTCAGTCTAACCAGCACCGAGTTTGTTGGTGTCAGTCTAACTAGTACTGATTTTGTTGGTGTCAGTCTAACTAGTACCGAGTTTGTTTGAGCCATCTCAGAGAAAGGTAATCACATACTGTGGGAGGACCCACACACACACCAGCTACTGACCCATTGTGAAATTTCACCGCACAGAGGAACAGAACATTTGCTCAAGGGGCAAGCAGTTGCCCAGGGTGTGGTTCAGAAGATGCCAGGAAGCCACAGTGCTACCTTTTCCCTAAGGGTGACACAGCACACTGGAGCAAGGAAAAAAAAAAACTCCATTGCTTAATCACAGAGTCGGGATAGACTCAGAGTCCCCATCTCTGGGCTTCCCCTGGAGCAGGCATGCACCAAACCCAAATGCCATTAGAGGTGTCATCATGTTACACATCATAGAGAGGAGTGCTAGGTCTCAGTGGACCTTGGCCCTACCCCTGCTCCCCCTTCCCTCCCCTCCCCACCCCCAGGAATCATTGCACACAGCACTGAAGGCAGCCTGTACCCCCTCTGCTTCCACCGCCGACAGTAGGTCATTGAGGGTCAGGGTACAGTGATGTTCCAGGTTTCTCAGGATAGTGAGCTGGAGAGGGAAGGAGACAAGCTTGTCCTGGCCCAGAGGATGGGAACAGGGAGCTACCAGCTATGCCCAGCAAGCAGAGGCAGGGGTGGCTCAGGGTATGGGAATTAGAAGAGGAGAAAGGAATGGTTTGTAAGCCATTCTGTATGAAGGGCGGGACTGAGTGTCATGGTTCACACCTTTGCTTGTCCCAACAACTCCTGCAGGTCTCCGTCTAACACTTTATTACGACTTCCAACATTCACCATGTGAACTTGCGGCCCACCACAAGGACTGCTAGACCACAAGGTTACGGTAGCTTTCTAACAATTGAATAGACACCCATTTAAAATGAAAATTCAGCAAGTGTTTGCAGTCAGCTATACTGTCATTTTGGAGTACGTGAAATAAGTGTTTACATGAGAAAATCCCTCTCCAGAAATATGCTATCGAATAAATGTGAGCACTCCTTGGGGATTTACAAATCAAGAGTGTGTGCCCTCTCTTCCCCTCCCCCTACTAAAGAAATTTAATAATTATGTCGCAGCTAAAATCAAAGTCTTTGGTGGACCGTGTGACCACTGAAATTCAATCAGGACCTACGCAGAGTCACCTGCTCCCCTTCGGAAGGTCTATTACATTTCTCCCTCCGTAATGAGCAGAAGTGGAAATGAAAGAGGAAAAAATTGTCGAGGAAGGCAGTTACGCGAAGCCCCTCATCTGGGGTCCGCAGGTAAGCAGATTAAAGGGACCGTCTTTCTTCCAAGAATGGAGATTAATGCAATAAGCCCAGCTCGAACAGGACTTGGAGATGTCGGAGATGCAGATGAGAGGGAGACATAGGAAGCCACCCCACCCTTACCAACGTGCAAGAGAGCAATACTTCTGTTCTGTTAGATGCAGAACCTGAGTCTCCTGAACAGCCCTTTACAGTACTGCAAGGCTCACTCTGCCTATGATAGTCTTCTTTGATCCTTACAGACTGCTGGTGTTTCACAGAGCTCTACAGTGTATATATTTACAAGAGACTATTATTACTTTCCAATGATGCTATTTTAAGATTTCAGTTTTATTGTTTTTAACTATGTGTATGTGCAAAGGCCCATGCACGTCCGTGCAGGCACCAGCAGAGGCCAGAGGTTAGGGACCCTCCCAGAGCTGGAATCACAGGCAGTTGTGAGTTACTTGGCACGGGTACTAGGAACAGAACTCAGGTCCTCTGCATGCGTAGTGTGTGTTCTGAACTCCTGGGCTATCTCTTCAGCCCCATAATGCTATTTTTAATTCTTGTTAATTAATCATCTCAACCACATCAAAGTTCCTAATTCCACTACGTATAACAGAGAGAGCGTTCTAGAAATTTTTATCATAAGAATGACGGCATATTTAGCACCACCTCATGGTACAAGTGAGAGATGAGAATGAGCCCCGATATTTGAATCCTAGAAAAGAAACAACAGAATTTTTTTTAAGTCAGTGTAATTGTGTACAGAAGAAGCCATACTGAGGATTTCAGAAAGAACCATTGATTTTCTTATCACTGAAATTTTCCAAGCATATTTTCATGTAAATCAACCGAAACTACTTAGATAGAAAATAAAACCTAATTACCTGAGTTTAAGAACTCAGAGATTATGCCCTGCAAGATGGCTCGATGGACGAAGACAGATGGCTCCGAAGGTAAAGGCGCCTGCTGCCAAGCCTACGGACCTCGGTTCCATCCCATGCGGTAGAAGGGAACAGCCAGCTCCTGCAAGCTGTCCTCTGACCCACACATACACGCAATAGGTAAATAAATAAAAAAAAACATAAAATTGTTAGGAAATTCATAAATCACATATTTTCTTTATAACAAAATGCCTTCTTTGACTTGATAACCTAAGGAATAAATAACTGATAAGCCATATGCGATTTATATAATTAACAAAATTCTTGAATTGTGAAGTAACATATGCCAAGAGAATATGTAAACACCACACATACTCTTCGGTGCCAGAATTCTTCCCCAAACTTGAACCTTTCTATATTTAAAATGCGCACATTGTAGAGGGCGATGAGAATTCGGGATATAGTTCAACAACAGAGCGCTTTGCCTGGTGCATGAAGCGCAAGAAAAACAAAGTCCCTAAAAGTAAAATAAAGATAAAAGACATAGAGAATAGTTTAAGTTTTAACACGGACAAGTGAAGGAGAGATACCAGTCACCTCGTAAAGCCACCTTAAAGTTTCAGGGATCCTCAGAGGTAAGGCACTGACAGCCTCTCGGGACATAGAGCCTAGCACAGTGCTCTCGAAGGAGGAGACGGTTGTAGCGGAGGATCTCGAGCAGATAAAAAGACAAAGAGCCCAGAGGGACTGATATCCTGAGGGCCAGCCAGATTCCCTTGCTGGGCACAGGTAAAGAGCGGATGGAAAGGTCCAGGTTGTACCAGCCGAGGCACACAAAGGAGGCAGAAAAGCCACGAGAGGCATCTGCCAGAAGCGGTCCATGATGAGACAGGAGCAGGGGAGACCTTAGGCTTCGGGCTAGAGCAACAGCTGAGCATCTCGACAGACTTTGGATGTCAGGGATGGACGGAACATTCCCAAAAATGGCCTGTAACACAGGAAGAAATCCTGCTCGCTCATTCCCAGCCTTCCCACCATTGGGTCACTTCACACCAAACTAGAGCAGAAAAAAATTTACCTTGGTCATATGTAACCAGTGGCCCAAAATAAGGTAGCTCTCATATCAGTCAATAAACTATACCACAGAATAAAGGGCTTAAGCTTGAGAAAAAAATTTTAAAAATTGCTATCACAGAAAAAAAAAAAAAACACACTATCAGAGCTGGAGAGAAGGCTCAGCAGTTGAGAGCACTGACTGCTCTTCCGGAGGGCCCAGGTTCAATTTCTAACACCCTTACGGCAGCTCACAACCATCTGTAACTCCGGTTCCAGGGGAACCGACACCTTCACACAGACATACATGCAGGTCAAAAAACCAAAGAACACAGAATAATACATCTTTTTTTAAGAAAAAAAAAAGAAAAAGTCATGAAATTGTCTTTAACACAACATCGTGTGGTTGCAAGAATTCAGATATTGATATGACAAGATCTCTAAGTGGAATGGGCTCAGGAAGCCGTGGCCCAGCAACCACAGGAGGCTGACAAGCAGTAGCACCTAGGAAAGACGTGAAGAGAAAAGCAGGATCATCCAAAGAGGAGGACCACAGACGTCAGTTCTCGGGATGCAGATGACCTGCAGGAAGTGGCAGAGGAGGTAGTGATGGGAAGTGAGAAGCACAAAGAAAATGGCATGTGCAGAGGGTCACAGAGGGATAAAGAGGAAGTCAGAGAGACTGACACCGGACTCAGCCTGGGTCCTGTTGGTGTGCCCATGTTTATTGATACTCGGAGCACAGAGATGGATAAAAGACAGTGAGACACACAGGGAGAGATAGGAAGATAGAGAGACAGAGAGGCAGAGAGGCAGCGGGAGACACACACAAAGAAGGAGATGGAAAGAGAGAGCTAAAGAGAGAGACAGGGAGTCAGAGATAGGGAGATATGGACACAGAAGTACAGAGACAAAGAGATGCAGAGAAACAGAGAGACAGAGAAAGATGGAGACAGAATGATAGATGGAGACAGACCCACAGAAACAGACAGAGAACGTAAGAAATCTTTCAGAAATGAAAGGTTTTCATTTACAGAAGCAAAATATAAGCCCCGGGGAAGTTTGACAGAACAGGATTAGAAATTGATAAGGAAAGTAATGATGAGAACTAAAATCCTACCAGCGGGAAACTTACAGGCTCTTTCTCAATTCATAGTCAGATGAGAAATACAAACTGGAATTGTATTGCGAATAGGAAATAGCAATAACTAAAAGGTCCCTTGGTGGAACTGATTGATTGTTCATATTTATAGCTTAGATCAGAGAAGAAATGAATAGCCAATAAGCATATGCATTAATAACTGAAAAATATGTGAATAGCTCATCAAAAGATGACATAAGATGGATGGAATAAGGCAAAGAGTAACTGCATTGGCTCAAATCAACATGAAATATAAAATTAATCATTTAGAGATTTAGAAAATTGAAAAGAATCGCCATGATAAATCAAAAAGCTATGAATAACTGGATGTATAAATATAGAGAACAACTATTATCTAATTCAATTTTTAGAAATACAAAACCACCCATAAACATCATAAGAAATGTGGAGAGGGACATTTGGAAAATCATGAGGCCACATTCCTGAGCTTCCTGCAGCCATGAGAATCTAAGCAGAGGGGACTGGTTCCTGGCAAACAGGAATCATCAAAACTCCCGTAAGAATGGGAGTTCAGTGCTGACCAATTGCTGTTCAAGAAAGAGAAGACACTGTTAAAGTGTGACCCAAAAGCAACACCTCCCCTGGAATCAGTGTGTTTACATGATTTGATAGAATTCTAGCAAATCTTCACAAAGTCCGTGTCTCCTGCGTTCCTGCAAGTCTCTGTAGATTGCGGGAAGGCTCTCGACTTTGTCAGAGCATGAAAAAGGAAACTCCATGCATGGTAAGAGTGCAAAACCCTTAACAAAATAATTAAAAGAACACTACGTCATCAGTTCTACTATCACAGACCTGCAACCTCAGCTCCTCATGGGACTGAGGCTGGAGGACACAAGTTCAAAACCAGCCTGGGCTACAGAGTGAGTTCAGCGCAAGGCCGAGGATCTAATAAGACTTTGTTTTAAAATTTCTTAAATTGTATGTTGATTACTATAATATATTATACTACTGTGTTATAGTATATACTATAATATACTAGATAACATATTACTATATATAATACATTACATATATTTATTATAGTAATCTCAAAATATAAGCAAAGTTAAATATTATTCAATCCATTGACATAGAGCATTATACAGATATGTTAAAATTAGAAATGAAATGATAATTTCCATATATGATGCAGCCATTTTACATATTAGTAACAATTTTAATTTAAAAAAATCCCTAAATATAGGCATAGATGGAGGATTTAGAAGTATAACATGCACAAAACCGGAGCAAGCTATGGCCTGACAAAATCCCAGCATGGAGCAGGAAAGGCGGGCACACAATCCCACCGCTCTGAGGACCTACTGGCATTTGTGAGCCGTTGGGAGAGAAAAGATGAGTTTTATTTAATTATGTGTGCCTGGTAGGCTGACCACATACCACGGCAGACTCGACTACTCCTGAGATTAGCTAGGCATCTAAAACACTCGAGGAAGGAAAGAAGCAAAGAGGAGGAGGAGCAAAAGGAGGAGGAAGAAAAGGAGAAGGGGAGGGGGAAAGGGAAAGGAGAAGAAGGGAGAGGGAGGAAGAGTTGTTGGGAAGGGATAGCGACTTGCTGTCTATGGCGTACGGGCAGGACAGGGCAATGGTTAGAACACAACCCTTGTCGGCAGTGACCAGACAGACTCCCAGGAGGTCATCTGAGAGGCCATGCTCAGCTGACACCGACTACCAAATGCATTAACCTCCTCCTGTTGCCTAGTCCTCACTCAGGACAGCAGACCATCGTCACCCACCTTGTGAGTCTGTGGGGAGGAGGAATGAGCAGAGCAATTCTTAAGAACACCAGGACACACTCCCACATAAGTGGAGGAAAAGTAGAACTGCCAAGATTCTTCCAGGATAGAAGGTCTCACTGCATCAAAAGGGAAAAAATCAAATTATAATCTTTATATATCATGGCAAGGCACTTCATAGGTCAACATTCATTTTTAATACTTTTGGAGACAGACAGGCTTTGATTAGCCAAGGATGGCCTTAGACTCCGGATCTTCCTGCCTCCATTTCCCCAGTGTTGAGATTTCAGGCCCATTTCACAGTTTCTGTGGTGGGGGACATTCAACCCAGGGCTCCATGTATCCAAGGCAAGTAATCACTATCGACTGAGTTTTGATCTAATCCCAAATCTTCTTGGACACGGGACCAGACGTGTGATTCCTCGGTGCATCCCGAAATATAAGCTCTGTTTGTGTGAGCTAAGCATGTGTGCCCGTGTCTACCATGCACTTCATCTTAGCTGGGTACACTGTCTCTGCTTGACTGTGGCCACCCTGAGTCCCCACAAAGTAAGAGGAGACAAAGGCAAAACACCAGTGTCTATGTCCGAGCGTAGCACAATGGAATCCTCGCAGCTTCGGGCTGCATCCAAGGTCTTCACTCATTCTCCAATACAGAAACTGCAGCTGCTTTCCCTTGAGTCCGCAGAGCAGCAGTGACCACAGCAAAAGGAATCCCAGGGCCCTGTGCCCACAATGCAGACAGCAAACGTTCTCAGTGGCACTGTTTGCGTTGTTGGGTAGTTACATATATCTGTATAATGAAATTGGGTCACTTTGGCCTCCATTCTCCTCTCATCCTCCTTCTCTCGTCCGAGTTCAGTCATCCGATTACAGACCTGTCACATTCCTTTCTAATCCTATCGACTGCTCGCTGTTCAGGAGGGTCAAAGAAGAAAAGCCTGAGGTACGATGATTCTTCCCCAAACACAAAGTTAGCTTCGTCTCTGTGCCAGGTGACGGTGCTCACGACGAAGTAACACAAAAAGGGGGTCAGAGCTCACTCCTCCACACAACTCACAGCCCAGAGCTTCCCCCAGGGTTCCACTAATTGACTTTTGAAGTCAGTAAATCAAACAGGTTAATTTGCATCTTATTTACATTTTAGAAAGTGCGTGTCACTCAGATATCTTCTATACAATCTATCTACACAGGGCTAACGTGTTCCCTACTTTCCTGACAAAAAGGACAAGTCAGTCTAAAGCAGGCCATGCTCTTTCCTCAGAGCCTTCCCACCCTGTTCCAAGGTGAGCCAGTGCAGAGCCCAGTCCTGGAGGGTCCTCTCCACCGCCCAGAACAATCTCGAGATTTTCTCTGCCGTGAGGGTGCCCCAGGCCACTGAGAGTGCCACTGCATGGTCCTGTCACAACAGGCACTTCTAAGAGCCCGATGAAGACATGTTTGAGAAGCTCCAGAAGTTTCCGTCATTCCCTGGATACAGCGCAGGCTCTTTCTCCTCTGGGAGGTACAGTGTTTATCACCCGCAAAGCACATGGCATCATCTGTGGTCTAGCAGTCTAGGTTCTGTCAGCAAAAACCTGGAGACCTAGTGTGTGTTACCAATTGGAGGTAGCCTGGAGATCTAGTGTGTGTTACCAATTGACAGGTAGCCTGTAGACCTAGTGTGCATTACCAGTTGGCAGGTAGCCAAGGTCCTAGCTCGCTCCATGATTCTACTAGAATCAGAACATCTGCATTCATCTGAAGGACCACTGGGGGAAGGAGGTGGAAATTTCTCCCAAACACCCGAATCTACAGCAATGAATGCAGATGGCTTCCCTAGTCCCTGGCCCTGGAGTTTCCTGTCAGCTTGCCCTTTGGAATCCCCTTCTGTCCTTTCTAGGGTGGACTCTTAAACTTAACCTGAAACCCTGATGTGTGCGTCTGAGAAGCCACATATGCAAATGGCAGAGGTGAGCCCCCACCCTGGGTAAACCCCGGAAGAAGCTGCTGTGGTTGGTAGACTCTGAGCCTGCTTTCAAGAGAAGGAGGCGTCTGTCCCGGCATCACCCTAGACTTGGCCCCTGGCTTGAAGCCCTTTGTCCCTTCCCTCTGCCCTGTGCTAAGCACACCCCCTTTCAGTGCTGGAGGCAGGAGGATCTCATTAGCACTAGCTTCCTACTCTTTTATTCTAGCAGTATTTTTAATAAAAGGCTTAAGGGAAAAGAAAAGATTAGCTGATGTCCCCATTTAGTTTGAATAAGATGCCCACTAAAGCAACTGGAAGAAGCAAGGGCTTGTTTGACCTCATAGTTCCAGGGTACAATCCCTTCCAGAAGGAAAGTCATGGTGTCAAGAGCTTGAGGCATCTGCAGGCAGGAAGCAGAGAGGCGCTGCTGCTCAGCTCACTTTTCCTTTAGATTTAGTCCAGGACTCCAGCCCATGGAATGCGTCTCAGATGGGGTTGCTGTTGCGGAGAAGAGACACCATGACCACAGCAACTCCCATGAAGGAAAACATTTCATTGGGTGGCTTACGGTTTCAGAGGGAGAGGAGGAGGAGGAGGATGAAAGAGGGAAGGAAGGAAGAGGAAGAGAATGGGGATGAAAAGAGGGGAAAAGGGAAGAAGAAGGAGGAGGAGGGGAAGGAGGGAGGGAGGGAGGGAGGAAGGGAGGGAGGGAGGAAGGGAGGAAGGGAGGAAGGGAGGAAGGGAGGAAGGGAGGAAGGGAGGAAGGGAGGAAGGGAGGGAGGGAGGGAAGGAGGGAAAAAAGTGAGAGGAGTCACAGTGTTAGGTTGTTACAGTGACACCAACCAACAGTGGTGTTTAGTTTCACTAAACTAATGGTTTGGTCCATCCTCTTCATGGTGGGTCATGGTGGTATGCAGGCAGACAGAGTGCTGGAGAAGGAGCAGAGAGTTGATACATCTTGATCCGCAGGCAACCAGAAGTGAACTGACTCACTGAGTGTAGCTTGAGCATAGGAGACCTCAAAGCCCACCCCCCAGAGTCACACTTCCTCCAACAAGACCATACCTCTTAATAATATCACTCCCTTTGGGGACCATTCTCTTTGAAACTACCACAGGATGGTACCACCTACCTTTAGAGTGGGTCTCCCCACCTTAGCTAACCTAGTCTAGGTGACTAGAGGTTTGCTTTCCACCAAGCCTAGATCCCATCAAGTTGGCAAGTGATTAACTAAACTTAATCACTGAGAAGAGGGTTTTAGGGAAACCCACTGTTTTGAGTACCCCTTCCACGGATCCCCCTGTTCCCTGATAAGAGTTGATGAGTGCATTCTGAGTCTTTGCTGTTACCAAACAATGTGCCAGGAGCCAAGAAGAAACATAAGAGATTTCAACTCTGTGCTCAGAAGGTCGTCAACCTACACAGGTTGACATGCATGAAATGGCCGGGAGTGACTGAGACAGACATCATCAAATGAGCAATGACAGCAAATGCTAGAAACTCCAGTACCCTCAGTGTATCTGAGTCAGAACTTCTCTCACACCCAGCCTCTAGCCTCCCTTCCAGATGTGCTCTCGCTGAGGGCCCAAAGCTCCAAAGACCAAATATGGTAGGAACAACAATGACCAACAAATATTTTTGGCTCCCTGAGCTCTGGGCATCTAGTCACAAAGGCATCGTTAATTCCTTGCTTCGCAGCTATGAAGCCCTTCATCTGGGGTCTTTCAGTTGGCCTTCTCATTGACCTCAAGATCCAGCCACCCACTCTTGTCTCTGCCTCCCACAAAGGGCTCCACACAAGGGCCCTCAGCATGCAGTAGTGTGCAAACTGTCAGTAAAAACCCTTTGTTCCAATGTGAAATCTAATTCTGTGATATTGCGTGCATTACGATACACTGCAATTTTTCCTAATTCCAGTGGCATGTAAATTAATCTGCTGCATGGAAACAACTCCTTAAGACAACGGAGGCTGATTTCCCGCCACACTCGTCACTATCAATTATCCTGCCGCATGGTACTACAGCCTTGTGGCCTGTGACAGCATTCACCCTTCATAGATGACCTAAGGTGACCACGTTTCATATAGAAGGTAGCATAGTCATCCTCCACAATTCCTCCTGGCCATTCCCGAGGGGACTTCCCGCCTACTTTCTTGCAAGCATGGCAATTTGTGTGTCTGGCTTGTTTTTATTTTGTAAATTAAGAAAATGTCCAAATTTAAGTGTTGAGCTTCTCTCCCTATCATATTTTGCTCCCTCTGGGAATATAGATGTGTCACCTGTGACCCTCCCCTACACCAGTAAGTAACCGACCCGAATCATGCGTGAAATCAGAAGGGCCAGAGGCACAGAATAACAGCGGACTCTGCACTGTGTCGGAAAGGCTGGCTCCATAGGTAATTCTGGGAGAGAAGCTCAAGGTCACTCATTTCCCACGTTATCTGCGTAGGCCATCAGAAAATAGGCAGAGGGTATCTAGAAGTAACAGCCTGCATTCATGAGGACCAAGATGCAGGTCAACTCCCAAAGGCCACATCCTTCCCTAAGAGAAGAGGCCTTCAAAAGAAAGGATAGTGCCATGTACTCGAAGCCTAAGTTATGGCAGTGTATCCCTGAGCGTAGGCTTGAAGATTCATCTTCTTTCCAAAGGACCAACTGTTTGTGATGCAGCCTACCATTCACCTTGCACACCACAAAGGAGAACTTTTACTTCCTAACGTGTACCAGCAGCACACAACACCTGTCGTTAATGGTGAATGTTATCTTGGGAGCAGTTTTAGTAAAATCTGCACAAAAGATCAATTTAAGAGCTAAACTCAATAAAATAAGAGTCAGGAAACAGGCCACACATAGAACAAGAACAATAGATAAGACACTCAGCTCAGTGACTTAGGCAAGCTGTATCTAGGGGCTGGAAACCTGTACAGGAAAGAGAGGGAAATTTGGAGGGGGCTTGATTGGTCCAAGCTCTGGACTGACCTTAGTGTAAAGCATCATCCCAAGGGTTGACTACTGTGATTGATGGAAGCCCAGCTGTTGTGACTGGATGAGATCTGGCTACATTCTTCAAAAGTGCACTGGGGGCATGCTTCCTGCTAGCTTAGTTTTGATGCTGTTCATTGCACAGAAGCTCAAAGTCAAGCCAAGTGGATGGTGTAGGCAAGTCATCTCCAGGGACCTGCCTAACTTACAATGCTCAAGACCCTGGAAGGAAGAAAAGAAGGGAGGGGAAGAAGGAAGGAGGGAGGGAAGAAAAGGTCTCTATCCCTATAGAGTTGTGCTCTATGAGGCAAGGCACTCTGAGTCTTTAAGAAGTACCTTATATAGGACTGGAAAGATGGTTCAGTGGTTAAGAACACTGACTGCTCTTCCAGAGAACTGGGTTCAAGTCCCAGCACCCACAAGGCAGCTCACAACTGTCTGTTCCAGGGGATCCAACAGCCATGGCAAAACACCAGTGAACACATATAAAAAATAAATTTTAAAAAAGAAGTACTTTCCAGCTCTAGGACATAGGGGCCATTGTTTACTTCCCTTCTAGCCCTGCAGATAAGTTCTTCTGAGAGTTACGTAGTCTGATGCTGGAATCCATTAGGGAACGCTTTCCTCTACAAAGCCGCTTCCCTCTTTTGAGTCAGACATGGGTTGGGCGGTTGGTGGTGGTGGGGGATGTCTGCTAAGTATCTAAGGCTAGAACTCTCAGAGCTTTTGCAAGACTTCTTGTTTGAATATTTCTATTAAGGTTTGAGCTTACAAAGAATCAGTGTGCTCCTTGTCAGCAAATGACACAGATGCAAACTAAACAAACATTAGCATTCCCTGCACCCTAGGTCCGCACGAGGTAGCCAACCTGAATCTGGCGATTCTGCATCCTCCCTGCCCTTCAGTGCACTGTGGTCCTTTAGGGATGGGGCTGGGAAAGGAAGTTTGTTTTCCATGAATGGTTTAATTATAACATCATCATTCACAGAGCATCCCACAGGCCCTCCTCTGTGGGAATTCGCTTCCGGCTGACATTCTGAGGAAAATCTGGAAGTGAGGTGGAAGATGGCTTGAGGTAGAATTGGATTATTTTACCAACTCGGCAAGAAATCCACACAGATCTGTTGAGCCTCCAGGTCACATGATCTACTCACTCTTAACAACATTCGGAAGAATTTATAAATCACATTCATGCCATAAACAGATCCTTCCCAAAGAAGCACTCTGAACAGGCACCAGAAGCTGGTCCTGTCAAGAGCGGCTCTCCACCTGGGCATCCTCAGGGTATCCATGCAACAGGGACAGAAGACTGAACAACTCAAAAGCATCCTGCCATTCACAAAAAGGCTGGCATAGGATATCACTTCCAACTGTATAATCCTAACTGGAGAAGCCTCTGGTTACCAGGAGGCTCCAGTTAATAAATAGTCTTGAATTGTCTAATGAATAAGTACAGTATTTGCTAAGAAAATGAGAAAACATTTCATCAGTCAGACCCTCTGCCCTCCACCTCATTTGTGTCGGGCATGCCTGTGCGTTCTCTAATGTAATCCACGTGAAAGCCCACTCCACATCCCTTGGGATTATCCCCTTTGGCTGAGGCTTCCAAACGGCACGAGCAAGATTACAAAATCTCGGCTCTGTGGACTTTGATTGACAGGCAGATGGCCCCTGACTACCCGGCCACTGTCTCTACACTTCTCTCCTGCAAATTTAAGACTGGTCCTGTGGATTTGAGAGGGAGCGGGGAACACAAGAGTGGCCAGAGGCAGACAGCACACCCCTGAGGGCCAATCCAGACTGGAGGGTAACTATGTGATCTTTGGCCTAAATCACGGCCAATGGTTTAGGCTCCAGCAGTTCTCAAATGGCACAGCTGGTGCGATTCTACCTCCCCACCCCACCCGCCCTCGACCTCTGATGTAGTCTTAAAAGGAAATCCATCTGCTATAGAAGCCATCTTGGTTTCTCTCGTTGTTTGAGGGCTCAGTCCATACCAGTGAAGAAGCCTTGATATCAGGAACCTGAAGCTGGTCACTGCATATCCACAGAGCCGGAAGCCCAGCAGGACAGGAAGTGAGCTCAGCTATAGACCTCAAGGCCCACCTCCCAGAAAGCCACTTCCTCCAGCTAGGCTCCACTTCCCACAGGTTCCATAACCTGCCTAAACAGTAGCCGTTGGGAACCAGGCTAAACACCGGAGCCCATGGGGGACATTCCACAGCTAAAGCATGACACCCCGCAGTGGAAACTAAGCCTGGAGCTTGTGTCATTCCAGTAGGGGTGCCTCTTCCACCTTCCTTAACCGCCCATTTTCCTTTTCTGTCACCTGGATCCAGGGCACTGTTCATGGTGAGAATGGAACATTTTAAGTACAAAGTTCTCCCAAAGACAAACTAGTCCGTGAACTTTTTAATGACTTCTATATTTAGCCCACCTGCTTTTCCTAATCACTTAATGGTTCTAAAATTAATATGGATCACGAAGGGCTGTTTTATCCTCCTAGGGGAGAAGATAAAAAGCTATAGAAGAAAACGTGTCAGCGTGGATACGAACAAAGGGAAGTAGGCCACATGGAAGAACTCTCGAGTTACAGCTCGTTCTTAGAGACACAGCTATCCTGTCTCTCTAACACAGAGATCAGCAGTCGGGTGTCTTGATTTAAGGGTGAAAACAAAGTATGGATCTAGTGCACTCAAAGGGTTTCTTCGCCCTCATCCTTCTCCTGGGAACCATGGGCTTGTGGATGCATGTGGCAAGAGCTGTGAGCATATTGACATCAGTTCACCTTGGCTGGACATGTGTGTCTTTATAGAGATAAACAGATCTACAAATAAGCTTGCCCATGGCCTTTGGAATCAAGGGTGGGCATACGGAATTATCTCAGTAAAAGACGCAAGCAGTAGGCAGGCCCTGTTGGATGGATGTGTTGTGTGGTCTGCTACATAGAAAAAAAGAAAACAGGAAAAGCAGATGAGACCATGGGCAGAGAAGAGAAAGGGCTAAGGTGTGGGAAATAAACAAAAGAGACGCTTCAGAGATGGTGACGTAAAACATGACTTAAAAATCACCATAGCCAGGCAGTGGTGGAGCACGCCTTTAAGCCCAGCACTCAGAAGGCAGAGGCAGGGGATCTCTGTGAGTTTGAGGCCAGCCTGGTCTACAAGAGCTAGTTCCAGGACTGGCTTCAAAGCAACATAGAAAAACCTTGTCTCGAAAAACCAAAAATAAATAGATAGATAGATAGATAGATAGATAGATAGATGATAGATAGATAGATAGATAGATAGATAGATAGATAGATAGATTGATTGAAGGCAGTGAGAGAAAGTAGGATAAACTCCCACAGAGGTCAAGGGAGGCCTCTGAAAAGGTGACCTTTGAGTTGAACTGTGACCCTCCAGAAAGAACACTCTAGACTGGGGGCACAAGTCCAGTGTCTGCACAGTAGGCGTGAGCATGGTCTCTTCAGGAACAGACAAGCAACAGGGGTCAGGGGTGGTGTGGCGGGCAGCAAGCTGGCGGGCACAGAGTTGGAAAGGGAAGCCACTCACATCACACAGCCATTTCAGGGCACAGAGAGATGTTGAGTTTTTTATTATTACAGTGCAAAATCATTGAAGATTTTGAATCAAGGGATATTACGCTCTGACGTGCATTTTTTCCCCCAAAGGTCACTCTGAATATTTCTGAAGAAAGTTTGGAGGCCAAGACTGGATATAGGAAGATGGCCTGAGCACAAGAGACACAGAACAAGCCAAGAAAGAGCTGCAGTGGCATGGCCCAGGGTAGTGACATTGGAAACTCTGAGAATGCTGAGCTGCGCAGACATGTTGGAAGTGAAGTTAATAAGAGCTGTGGTTATAGCTGGTGTGGAGGATAAGGGCAATCTTGAGGCCTGGGCCTCTGGGTGAAGGCTCCCAATAGACGGTGGAGCCGGGACATGCGTGAGTGCGGTGGGGCTAGCATTTCAGAGGAACACGGTGAGGTCCTGTTAACTCTGAAGTGGAAGACGGATTTGCAGACATGGGGCTTCCTGCCAACCAGGAGCGATCTCCTTTAACCCATGCAGAGATTTGCTGCAGGCCATGACATGCGGCCTGCATTTTCAGGGAGAGCTGAAGATGATACGGGAGACACTCTGCAAAAGCTTCCTAAGTCAGTCGCATACTGAGGACACAGCCTGTTCTTAGGGCCGGGCTCTTTCTGCCACTCTGTACCAAAAATGAGGAACAGAGCACACACAAGATGCTCCTAAGAATAACAACTGTCTCTGATTCTCTCTGTGTGTGTCTATGTGTGTGTTGGATTCTTTTTTGAATTGGTTGCCGCCTCTTACTGGTTCTTTGATTAATAAGCTGAACTAAAACTTCATTTTTATTTACAGGCATTCTTTTGTATTTATATGGATCATGACTTTATAATCTTTCAAAAACTGACTTTAACCTAAGTATGTCAGTCTTTAATTATTAAATTTCAAATATAATTTTAAAATATTCCTTCAAGTTTTGAATCGTTTTGGAAAGGAGTGACTTCAATGCCAGAGACCAGCTTTGGAGCTTTAGAGATGTAAGTCAATTTGCCAGCAAATGAAGACTGAGCAGCTTTGGCCTTGATGGTGTGCAGAAAGAGCAAGACCAATGTGGCATGCAAATCTCAATCTATGGGCACTGAAGTTCCCAGAACTGTATGCCTAACACTGGTTGCCACCTATCCCCCTATCTGCAGTCAGAGCCAACACTTTGTCAGGGTAGAGGCACCCCATCCTGTCAAACACCCCTTCTTTGTTCAGTGGAGAATCTCTGGGGGGCCCTCCCAGACCCAAGGAACATTTTGCATTGAATGTAAGCAAACTGCCTCTCCCCGTGGTGAGAAAGTGGTCATTGAAAGAGAGCTACTCACACCATAAGCGAAGCTGGAGGAAGACGGATGCAGACGTGGAGAATGGGGGTCCGTCAGAAGGACTAGAAGCCCAGCTAGCAAGTCAGCAGGCACTCACTGAGGGTCATGTGTTGACTTGGATTCATTCCAAAGCCTGATGCTCACCGCGGCAGCACCCACACATTCCTGGGTTGGACTGCTATAGGCATAGTTTACTCAGGTACCTCCTCTGAATGTAGCCCAGTACTGAGCCCTGTTCCCGGGAAAACTCAGGAAGCCCATCTGTGGGACCTGAGAGAACCGTATCTCTGAGTAGTCACCATGGGCCACCATCTGTCTCTGCAGGGACAGAGAACATGGGACCTCAACCACCAGTACACGGGCCACCATGGAGCTTTGCAGGACCGTCTATCTCCAAGAGTGACACTCAGAAGGAGCAAAGTACCACCGTAACAGAGGGGCACCGAGCTACTTTCGTGCTATGGCTGAAACTTAAAAACGCTGGACTTTTGTGCTGAGTGACCAATGCCACTGCACAAGTGTGCGTTCACATCATAGAAGACCTTCAGGAGGGTGCTTCTGCAAGGGCAGACGTGAGTGGAATGCATTTATTAGAAACATAAAAGTAATATTACCACATTTTTATCTCAAGTGGCTGAACCGGTTACACTAGTTTTCCTCTAATCAAATTTTGTATTACATTCTCACTGTACCTCAGGCAAGAAAAGTTAGAAAGCCAGAAATAGCAGCCACATTAAATATTCCAATCACCTTCCAGCTGCTTTAGCTGTAGCTTTGCCCTTCCTGAAGGACAGAGGAGACAAAGGGGGCAGTAATTAATTACCAGGGAAGACTAAGAAGCAGGGAAGATTTGGTCCAGGAGCAGAGCCTATCAGGTCAGAACTCCTGGTCTCTGAAACTCCCCGGAGCCTGAAACTCAGGCCACACCCAGGTAGTAAGACAGGACTCAGTGACATTCTAACTGTGACCCCTAAAACAGGAAGCAGCATACCAGTTCAGGCTAGCGATGCTGAAGGTTCCCAGTGTCCACAGAGCTTCTGGGGCCAAATGGTAAGAGCGTGAAGAAACCTTTGCCAATTTCTATAAAGGTAGAAAGGAAACCGCATTAAGCCAGCCCTTCAGATAGGTGAGAGAGGAACTCAGGCAGAACCCCCAAAATAGACGTGGGTGGCACCCAGGGCAGCTTTCACTTCCACTAGACCTGGAGTTGCAGTTCCAGGTGGGCCCGGTGGTTATTGGAAGGGGCCCACCGTGGTGGCCTGGAGCTCAAGCTTCTCTGTCCATTCTGGGGCCACCTGCGACCGCAGTCAGGTTCATAGAGGAAGTTCCAGAGCAGCCAGCAGCCAGAGTGAAACTGGCTGAAAGCAACGGGTTCTTCCCCACGCGGTCACCTGGTTCATGCTGACTCCAGGGCCAAGTTCCTTCTGTTTTCTCAGGAGCCTACCCAAGGGCTAGCTGGCCTCCAGCTCTCTACAACAGAAGAGAGTCCAGGACTCACCGGTTCAATCAGGAGGCCGGCATCTTCTTTACTTTCAAAGAATTTAGGGGTTAGTGGGATGGCTCTGTGGGAAAAGGTGATTGCTGCCAAACCCGACGACCTGAGTTCCATCCCCCAAGAATCAGATAGTAGAAGAAAAGTACAAACTTCCGCAAACTGTCTTCTCATGTCCATACATACACATATCAACACACACATAAATAAATGTAATTTTTAAAAAGAACTTAGGATTATTGGCATATGTCTATAATTCCAGCAGTTAGATGGGAAGCTAAAACAGGAGGATCATGAGTTCAAGTCCAGTCTTGACTATTCTGGGAGACCCTGTCGCAAAAACAAAAGGATCCAAGTTTTTTTGAGGTCCGTAGAAAGAAAAGAAACAGAGTCACACATCAACGACAACACCTCATACGCTAAAATTTAAATTTTTCCCTTAGGTCCTTGTCTAGAGTAAAGAGTTGTAGATCTTTATCTGTCATAAATCTATCCAAACAGATGTTCTGTGAAGATGCCCTTATAAATGTTTGCCGGCGAGAAAAACCCTTCACAGAATTATCAGGAGAGATGGGCAGGAGGAGATGCAAGAGAAAAAAGGTCTCGGGGAGACAGCAGGGCAGCAGAATGGAGGAACTGCTTTCCCTAGGTGGATGGAGACATTAGTGAAGGGAAGGGGAGGCACAGCTGTGTTATAGACAGAAGTGGGGTGTTCCAAAGACATGTAACTTGATCCCTTGCCACCCTCACAGCCATCCAAGGATCGACAACCTAACCTTTCCGAATTCTCAGGAAAAAGGAGGATCTGAAATACAATCCTACAAAATCTTACATTTTCCCTCATACAACTGCTAAGATGAGAAGGCATAGGACTTGGAGGGGAGGCTGTTCCAAAGGGGCAAAAATTGATGAAGAAGGAAGTCATTGCAACTTGACCCCTTTACCTGACTCAATCGATCCACTGTCCTAGAATGGAGCAGTGAGGATGGGCGTGAGGGAGTCTCAAGTAGGCAGAGGCCCCAGATTCTGCTCAGACTCCAGGATGTTAGAGCCCCAGGTGCATCCCTGTCCACAGCCCCGCGGCCACAAAACAGCGACTGTCATGAATTCTGCTTGTGCCCCAGTAGCTGATGCTTGGATCCTTGCTGCTGAGCTTAGCTTTGCCAGCCCCCCTTTCACAGGTGAGAAGGCCAAAGCGGGCAGACCTCAGAGCAATTCCAGACTTAAAGCCATGCCTTGGGGAGACAGCAATCCTAAGGAGTGAGGAGCAAAGGTGCAACCTGGAGGGAGGGTCATTTAAAGCCCTGCCTATTGGTCCTCTTCCCCTTCCCCTGTCTTGGAGGTTATGCTTTCATGGCCCATGGCATAATCGTTTCTGGAGCTAGGACATTAATGTAGGCTATAAGGGTATATTTGGGGAAGACGATAGATGAAATTTTTAGTTAGGGAAAACAGCATTCTGCTGATTTGAAGGAGAGAATATAGAAGAGAAAAAGTTCTCCGCAAAGTAGGTCTGGAATTGGAAGTCCCCACTGTTGGTATACACCTTGACATTGACTTTGCAGCCAGTAATAGAATGGAATATGTTAGACCCCGAAGAGAGCAGGGGCTAGTGACACATGACTGGTGTGTGCGGAGGGCTCTCTTGGAGGGTGCCCTCTCCCTGGGTAAGCCTACACAGAAAAGGGCTGTAAGGCAGACATGGCTCAAAGTACAAGGCTGAGACTTGTCACAGGTAAGCAAGACATCGTGCCTGGGGACTCGGTTTCCTCACTGATCCAAGTCGCATTTTATGGGGCTGTGAACAGGATGTAAATTACAGCATCTACGGGCCTCGCATGACATGGGTACTATTCCAAACTGGCATACATTAACTCTCTTAATCCACACACAGCACGGGTAAACCCTATCATAGACCCCATTTAACGGATCTGAGGTCCCCATTACCTCCTGGGAGGAAGAACCTTGTCCACTGATTTACACAGGGGGGTGGGGGCTGCTACTTAGATTTTCTTCTAAAGTAGAAATTCATGACAATAAGACTACATCTTACCTACAAATGATCGGCAGCCTGTAGGAGATGCCCAAAAAGGATTGGTTGGTTTAGTATAGCTATTTGACATCCTGAAGAACCGAGAAGGAACCCAACAAGTTGATCATTTCTCTACAAGAAATCTATACTCACCAAACAGAATCATTGAGTTGGCTCATAACCAAAATGAGAAAATTTGGAAATGCCAGTAAATGCTTCCTTTGCAAAAGCCTTGTGTGTGTGCTGTAGTGGCATCCGCAAGGCCATGGTGAGCTTGTGTGATGGTCTTGCTGTTCTGGGTGACACACCCTCAAGAGCAGCTTTCCCCTAAAGGACCAGCAGATATCTCAGGAGTCCCTCAGAAGCTGTGGACAGGAAGCCACCTTCAGAAGCAAAGGTTTGCAAACACCAGCCCTCTCCCTCTGCCCCTTTTTCTATTCCCCTCTCTCTTCCTCCTTCTGTATCTCCTCCCTTCAGTCTGCAGAATCCTATAGCACACTCTCCAGGATCCCAGTATAAAAAGAAGCCACCCCACTGGTCACATGCTAAGACCAAAACTGCCAGACAGAGCCAGTAGACACTACAAGTTCATTTACCCAAGGGACAGACTTCTTCACGCTGCTCTGGAAAAGGGAGAAGAGAAGGCAGCCTCAGCAGCAACTCGGAACCTCAGGAGCCCAATGTCCCAGCTGCCAACACCCGAACGTCCCAGTTCCATCTTGGTGTGAACAGCTTTCCCAAGAAAGGAACCCATCTTTGCTATCTTCTTGGAACATGCACTCCCATTTCCAAAACAGCCCATCAGCTTCCTTCCATCGGTATGGCTCTTGTTAGAGTTCTTTCAGGGTAAGAACGGCCCATTAAACACATGTCCCTCCACAGCTTTGCAATAGAACAGGAAATTGAAATGACCCGTGCTCTAGCTCAGAGGAGCGCTGAGCCAAAGGAGCCCCAAATTTTAAGCCCCCCTCATCCCCAACTGCCACTTAGGCTGGCATTATTGCGTTACTGTTCAGCGGGATGTGTGCGGTGCTACCCTCCACAGGGTTTTTATTGTCTGCCTTCCTAATTCTGTTCCGCTATCACAAGACGGAGTGCAGCATCTCTGCGAAACCATTTGGTTTTAAGCTGTGAAATTTGTTTGCTGAAGTCAGCGCCACAGCATCAAGAATTCCAATAGCGCAGGGTGTCCGAGATAAACAGTGCCACCAGCCTGTGGCATTGGATAAGATTTATTTTTGCAAACTCTGCCAACCCCCAAACAGAGCTTATGCCTGGGTAGCTACAGCTCCACTCTGTTAACGATGCTCATTTAGATTTTTTTTTGACACCGAAGGGGCCTTACATCTTCTTCATAAATATTAACAAAAGTTTGTTGAGGACCCTAAGCCCCAAAGCAGGAGGCAGTCGATTGAATGAGCCCAGCAGAAGAGAGGATGGTGATGCTCAGGGAGAGAGGCTCCTCTCTCCTGGCTGCATACTTTGTATCCATTTGTTAGAACATTTCAAGTTAGCTCTCCCGGATTCAGAGTTTTGTTTTTAATAGTAACTATTTGGTGGAAGCTGCCTTTTAAAGGTTCCCCCACCTCCCCACAGCACCAAGCCTTTGTCATATGAGGCCTTGGGGGGATACTGCAGATTCAAGACAGCAGATTCTGGGGTGTTAGCATGGCCCTGTCCTGCTAGATCTTAATAAAATGTGATAAGAGAAAGTCACTTAAAAGCAACCAAAAAAGAAGTCTTCTGATGTGGGATTCCCCTTTGTATGCTGTGAATATGTTTTATTACCATTGGCTAGTGAATAAAGCTATTTTGGCCTATGGCAGGGCAGAATAGAGCAAGGCGGGAATTCCAAGCAGAAATAGAGGAGAGAGTAGGCAGAGTCAAAGAGATGCCATGTAACTGCGGAAGGAGACAGAACACCCTGGAATCTTGCTGGTCATCACGAATCTCATTGTAAAACACATGAAAAGAAATGGGATAATTTAAGATGTAAGAGCTAGTTAGAAACGTGCTTAAACTATTGACCAAACAGTGTTTTAATTAATATAATTTCTGTGTGATTATTTCTGGTTTGGGAGACCAGGAAACAAACAAGCAGTGGCCGTCTACAGTCTATAACACACAAGCTAATTTCATATGGAGCAATGCTTCTCCTTTTGAAGAAAATAAGAAGATTGAATATGAACCCAGAGAGAGAATCAGTATCAAAGCAGACTGAAGAGAAAACACTTTAAAGACACAGCCATGAGAAAGTGAGGTGGTTCTGACTCAACTGTTTGCCCAGTTTCAGGTCCTTGAAAGTCTCCTAGCAAAGTCACAGTCCATGTGACCTCCTATCCTATAACCAGCCAGCCACACCCCTGTCTTGTAGTGGCCAGTGTCACTCAGGTGAGGCCGCCACGCAGAGCGGAAAGTGTAACCTTCTGAGTTTGATGACATGCATTGCCGTGACCTCAGGTGAGTTGGCGATGCTGCCACACAGAGTGGAGAGCTCAGCCTTGTGGTCTCAGTGATATACCTTGCCGCGACCTCACTAGAGTAACCAGAAGTCATCGCAGAAAGGAGGGAAAGGAACAGCGTTTGGCTCTTAGCAAATGCTAGGCGACAGGTGCCGTGACTTCAATAGCAATGGCATGGGGGATGCGTGAGGTTCCTGTTCAACCTTTTCTTTCTGCTCTGAAAACCCAAACACTAACATGAGAAGGGATGAGAAAGTAAGACTCATAGTGACCAGGATGTGAAACTCACTGCACAGGCAGCTCGCCTGCCGCCCTGACGGTAAGTGAAAGGACAAAAAGTCCAGCAACTTAAAAATTCTTCAAGGTTTCTCACACAGAGTCTCCGAGGTCCTGGGATTGCAGTACGCAGATGCTGCGGTGGTGACAGGAAGCACAGTCCGTACCTGCAGCTTGGTGATCTCTGATGCAGTAGGGGCTCTTTGGGGAGCTTGAAAATTTCCACAGCAGCTGGAGTCTCCAGTCCTGGTGGCCTTGGGGAAAACACTTGTCAAAGCCATATCTGGAACCCAAATTGCCCGCGTGCAAGCAATTTTTTCCCTCTATTGTTAAGTGAAAATTCCATAAGAGAAAAAAAAATTCTTGCATTGTGTCCAGGAGAAATGCATCTTTCCACTGAAAATATTGCCCTCGTGAGCTTGCCGGTCATATTTACACTGAAAATGAGTAACAAAAACATGCAGTCTCCCCCCTCCCCCAGTTATTGTTTTATAGACTCATCTTCTACCTTTTATTAAGAACGGGAATACGCTGGAGGGATGTCAGCAGTGGCAGATGCCACTTCGCCTCTATGGATGACGGGGAGCCCTTCAGAGAGCACCCCACATCTGAGCCACCACAGCCTTCTCCTGATACGTGGTTCTCGTTAATGCTAAGAAGGCTCTGCCTCTGAACTGTGGCACGGGCTTCTGGCCCCACACATTTGCAGAATCTGGCCCAAATGGCTGAAAGAAGACTGCTAATTTATCCTCTGGTTCAGGTCTCAGCTGCAGCTCCCAGCTTTGATCATAGCCAAAGCCCATATCGTCCTAAACGTCATGTGTGATCCTGGGAGTCTGGATCAGAGGAGGCTGGGAGGACCAAGAGGGGACAAGGAGGACGGTTGGGCCACCTGCTCCCCTCATTAACATGAGATGAAATGGCACAGCTGATTGGCCCAAGGAGAAGAGGAGGTTCGGTGGGGACAGGGGAAGGAGGCTAGAGGTGTTCCCAAGGGGGCTCAAACTGCACCCCACCTGCTGCCTCTCATTAGCCTTGACTATGTACCAGGTACTGGACTTGGCTCTCAGAGACGGAGCCCAGCACACAAGGACTTGGGGTCCAGTGGGAGACAGACACGGGGAGCTAGCTATTTCACATAATGTCCGGCAGACAGATGTGACGGTGTGATCGGGCAGGAGAAAAAGAACCTTAGGAGCACAGACAGGCTGCAGAGAGGCCGGCTCCCTCTGAAGGGAAGACTAGAAGACAAAGGTATCGACAACCTTATTCTCCTTATTTGGATCCAAGTAGATACATGTAGTTCGCACCGTCTAGAACTCCGAGGCGCAAGGGAAAACCTATGTCTATGCATCCCACAATAGGAGATGTTCCCAGGGAAACTGAAATCCTCAAGGAGCCTTCAAGGTGAGCAAGGACTTCAACGTGCCAAGATAGGAGGGGGCTCCTGACAGAAGCCTTGGGAGCTGGACAAGGTAGCTCAGGCAGGTGCCCAGCTTTCTGCCTTTGGCAGCAGGCCTGAAGAGGAGTGGGGGAGCTTGCAGCTTGCAGGCGGCACATCTGGGGCGCCATCTAGGGCCCCCTTAGGACAGATGGGTCACCTTGAGATGCAGTGCCCTCGCTCTGCTGGTGTAGCCACCTGGCAGGAAGGAAGCTCCTCATGGAGAAGTACATGTGTCTTTAGCCATCAGACTACTAAAATCTTCGTCCCCCCCAGAAACTAGATTTCCTTAGAAGTTTCACACTGGGGAAGGAAAGGAGTCTATGCTCTGTCCTAGCCAGAGGGGGAACCTGTCTCTGAGAAAGAGATTCCATTCCATTCTGACAGCTCATCACAGGGCCCTGTAAGAGAGACTGAAGTGGAGGTGCTGATGATAGGCGGAAACACGCCTTGACCAGGACTGCTCGGTGACATACACCTAACCCTTGTTCCACTTAAACACGAACCTCATCTGAGGACCCCAAAGATGGACCAAAGTTCAGTAGGGGGCGGGGGTCACTGGACGTCTTTGCTCTTCTTTTCAAAGCAGCCACATTACATAAATCCCATCTCTGCTTCTCTCTGTGACTTGACGCCGTCTTCCTGTGAACGCCAGGGTCCGCTGTGGCCAGCGATGGCTTCCTACTTGTCCCAGAGACTCCTGATGTCAGTATCTGTTAACAATAAATTAACCTGTGAGAGGATGGGCTAAGTGCCAGTCGGGGAGTATAAACAATGCCCGCAGCAACGGGGACAGCACACTGTCACCTTCTCCCCCTTGGGTTTTGTTTCCACAGGACTTCCCAGCACATACCACCTGCTGGCTTGTAAGGAGTAACCAGGCCTTGCTTGCTGGCTTCCCCTCACACCAGACTAACTTCGTACTTGGACTCATAAACAGGCCTTTGGAAGGTTCCCTTTCATTTCTATTTCTCCTGGTGATTCAGGACCATAACTGCCACTGAACAAACAGTCTGGTTTCACACGGAGAAAGGCAACCAATATTCCACTAAGAGAATTTCGGTGCTGGCAGTGAGAATAGCCAAACAAAGTTGATTAAGCATTGAGTGGTGAACACAGGGGACACAGACACAGAACACCCCTGCACTACCAGAGTGGTACGGAATGAGACCTTCCTGTCCGGGTCTGGGGAAATTGCATCATCAACCTGCAAGAGACGACAATCTAAAGCAACAAGCCCACAGTCACTTCACAGTGGCACAGGCGTGTGACCATGAGGGTCAGTCATGTTCCAGGGCTCCTGAGAGATTGGTGGACTTGGCCTTTGCCCATCCCTCCAAAGGTTACTACATCCCAATGCCTGCATCAGAGCAGGTGACGCATGGGAGACCCTGGGACAACTGCAGTGAGGTCCCTGGCTTCAGGAGATCCAGGAATAATCCCTGTGTGGGAGATTTTCCCACATGGCAGACAGGCCTGGTCCATCTCAAAGGCACAGAGGGGCGCCCATTTTACCTGAGGAGGTCTTGGGAGCCCAGAAACCAAGGAGAGAGCTGGTTAGACAGGGCCTGAAGGCAAGCTAACGGGCCTTTGGAATACATCCAAACCCAGAGTGCTGCTATACCACTCAACCCACGCTTTAGAAAAACCATGTTTAGACACTGGCACAAGCATTTTATCTTTTACCCCAGCACCCAAGAGGCAAAGACAGGCACATTTCTGCATTCAAGGCCAGCTCGAGCTACACGGTGAGACCATACTTCAAAATGAAACATAAAAATGAAAAAAAAAAAAACCACTTTTGTAAGTGGGGACAAACGATGAAGTTGAGAAAATATACTTCCTACTCTAAGTTTGCAGCCAAAAATCAAGAGGAAACAGAAACTGTATGAGTGTGTATACTCACATGTACACATACATGTATAGTCATGAGCACACATTAGGGGTCTCTATAGGAACAGAACAGGTAGCATGAATAAACACTCTACATGGAGGTTGCAGATTGACTTACATGGTATGGTCTTGGCTATAACAGTAGCTGTCTGCATACTGGACAAGACTCTGAGAACTCAGTAGCTGCTCGGCCCATAAACTGGATGACTCGGTTGTCCCAACCTGAACTGAAGGGCTGGGAGATTCCTGGAGAGCCCTGGTTTTCAGCCCACATGAGAAAAGCAATGGATTTAGTTCTGACATCAGTGAAGAGATGTCACTGCTGCCCACAGCAATGGCAACAGTGGCAGCAACGGTGGCGACAGGGTAGATGAACTCACCAGCAAGATATTATGGCAATGAAGCCAAAATCAGAACGTTTTCTACAGGACCTCTCTCTCTCTAGGCTGGCAATGAGAGGTCGCCCATACTTAGGGTGGGCCATCCACTTCAAAGAGCGTGATCAAGAAAAGTCCTTGCAGGCTGTCCAGCAGGGTGTCTCTTAGCTGATTTTAGATTCAGTCACTGACTACCATGGCTACACTTGTATATGTATATGTGTACATATATGTGTGTGCATCTATGGGTATGCATATATTGTGTACATGTTTATATGTAAATGTGTTTACGTGAATGCATATGTAAATATGTGTGCTTGTATGTGCATATAAATGTGTATTACACATATGTGTGTGCAGATATACATCTATGAGTATGTAAATGGATGTGTATATGTACATCTATGTATATATGCGTGCACATCTATGTGCCTATATATGTGTATGTGTACATGTATGTGCATATAAATGTTTGTGTGTATGTATACATCTATGTGTATTATATGCATATGTACATGTATATTCATGTAATTGTGTATGTGTGTATGTGCATGTGCATATGTGCATTTTCGTGTATACATATGCATGTGTGTGTGTGTGTACATTTATGAGCCATGGGCTAAGGCTTTGGTCGCTCTACCACAAATGACTTTGGAGTTAATAGGATGCTTCCTCTCCCAGGACCAGCAGTAACAAGCAGCCACTGTGTGCAAAGCAGGGACAAAAGCTCCAGCTTTTCAGAACATTTCTGAGCAAAGGCGTCAGGGGTGAGCCCTATGTAGATGACCACATAAGGTCTGGTCCAACCCAGCCATATGGTGAGAAACAAGTTGTTATTAATAATATCTGGACAGCCCAGTGCATATCACACTGCCAGACTCTAGGTAAGGGAGGCACCTTGTGGGGAGAAGCAGATTATGTGGGAAGAGTCTAGAAGTTATAAATACCAAGACTTTGTCAGACATTGCCCTCCCCACAATAATTCTTAGACTTTTCCCAGTCCTTGTCACAGAGACTCCCATGGCTGCTGGCTTGCTCGCTTAATATAGGGTCTCACATAGTGCTGACTGGCCTCAAGCTGTAGCTGGGGCTGGCCTTGAATCCCTAATCCTCTTGCCTTTTGCCTCCTGAGTGCTTCCCAGTGGTCAGGTCACAACCATGCGCCACCACGCCCAGTTCCTCACACGGATGTTCGCTATCAGCCAGAGCAATCGATGGCAAGGGGAAGGAACCGCCAGAGAAGCGGGCCAGAGCACTTGTGAAACTCTTTCAACACGCCAGCACGCTCTGCAAACAGGAAACTTTCAGCGAGCAGCATGCTCGCTGCCTGTGGGTGCAGCTAGGCTACTCAAAAGCACCTCCCACATCAGACCTGCTGCGCCCCATTTTCCACCCTTGAAACAGAGACCAGGAAAGTGAAGCCCAAAGGTTACTGTGTGACTAAAGTCATATAAGTCCTGCTGGGGTGGTTTCTGAAGGAGCGACCAGAAAGAGAACAAAATGCATCCACTCTGCTGAGAATTGTCGTCAGGGTCTACAGGACTTCTCTGGTGTGGTGGCCAGATAAAACCTCCCTGAGGAATCAGAAATCAGTGTGGGCAACATTTAAAAAACAAACAGATTCAATAAATAGCACCAGAGGAAAACAAACTAAAATGTTTCCTGCAACAACTTCTCTTCTGGGACCAAATTTTCCCTCCTCCTGTATCCAAAGGAAACGTGTGTGTGTGTGTGTGTGTGTGTGTGTGTGTGTGTGTGTGTGTGTGCCTGAAAACCTAAAAGAGGAAGACAGTGAAGTCAGGGAGATGGCTCTGTGGGTAAAGGTTTGTCACGCAAGTGTGGGGTCCTGAATCCCCAATACCCACACAAAACGAGGCACGCTTGTAATACTAGCGCTGGGGAAGTAGAGACAAATAAATCCCTGGTCCAGCTGAATCAAAGTCCTCAGACAGAGACACCAAGCAAAGAGCAGGTTGTTGGAAGCAGCCAGGCCCGCCTGCTTTCAGAATGTGCACCTAGATGTGTGGCCAGTAAAGGAGACATGAGTTCCCTAATTCCGTTTCCACTCACTGTCCCCACGAAGTCCAGAGTCCTTTAGTCCCTAAAAGATTGCCTTCCCCACACACAGTTCCCATTTGACAGAGAGACCCTGTCAGAAGGAAGGACCGCAACATTGTATCAACCCTGAAAAACACTGCTTTGGAATATTTCACACTAGGCTGACTTTTACCCAGCAAACCTTCCCCCGATGCAGCAATTGAAACTGACCACAGCATCAGTGGGAGTCCCAGTTCAGTCTCTGTTGTGATAGGCAACTGTGGCCAAACAAAGCTTAGGAAGGAAAGTTTATTTCAGTTTACAGTTTCTAATTCGTCATTAAGAGAAGTCGAGGCAGAAACCTAGAAGCCAGAACTGTAGCGGGGACCTGCTTGCTGGCTTGCTCACTATGGCTCCCTCATCCACCTCTCTTATATAAGCCAGGATCACCTGCCCAGGCATGGCATCGCCCATGGTGAACTAAGCCTTTCTGTATTAATACTTAATTAAGGAAACGTCCCGACGGGCATGCCCAAAGGCCAGTCTGATGGAGGCAATTCCTCAATGGAGAGGGCATGGCACTTCCCAGATGCTAGATTGTATCAAGCTGACAAAACGAGCCAGTATAGTGGGGAGCATTCATTCAGGTACATCAGACATCACTTAGACACAACCCTGGCACTCACTTGAAGATTATTACAGGAAATAGCCATTGTTGACTATGTAGTAACTATAGCTCCCTATAGACACCGTTTCTCACATGCTTGTGTTCCTTGTGACTCAGTTACTGTCTAATACTCCCTTCAGAGATGAGTGGTTCCCTGAGTTATTGCAAATGGGAGTCACCTCGTTCTATCTGAAGCTGGAAAAGTCCTCTGTCTCGTAAACATTAAAAATTGAATTTTAAGCTGTTTTCTGTGAGCCCTCAGCAAGAAGGAGGGTGGCTGGAGCTACTTCCGCTGCAGGAACTAAACGGCTTCCAGTCATGTTTCCTCCATGGCCCATCCACGCTCTACAGAATGGAGGAGCTTCAAGAGGAAGGGAGGGAAGCAAGGACTACCACACAGAATGACTGAGTCCTCACTCCAGAGTATGCCATGCTCTGTGTGTGCCCCTAGGGCTCATGTGTTGGTGACTTAACCTTCAATGTCACGGGACCTGTTGGGTGTGAGAGGTCGGTTGGGATCTCCAAGAAATGATCAGGTGAAAAGTCTCTGCCCCAGTTAGCAGCAGAATGCCTTTGTCATTCGTAAGTAAACCAATTTGTTAGTGTGTCTAACAGAATAGCAATGTGGACTCCCTCCTGTCCACCACCATCTGCCCAGGCATGAGTAAACCTCACCAGATGTGGTTCCCGACTTGGACTTCACAGCCTCCTGAATGGCAGTTCAAATACACTGCTTTGT